GGAAAAAAAGAGTTTGATTCTGGGCCTCGAAAAAGACATCTCCAGCACACATCACCTCGTTGTCGCCGTCGGATTTTATACCACGAAAGTGCTTCTTCACTTGAATTAAAAGGTGAAAGTTACTCGGAGCTAGATTCGGAAAATATGATGGGTGCTGCAATCAACTGAAACCCAGCAATACGGATGGCAGCGCCAACAACATTGGATCGATGAGCAAGGGCATTATCATGATGAATAAGCAATTTTCCTCGATATTTATGCTTTAGTTTTTTTGTGTAGTTTTTGGATTAATGATGCGTAATAAGCTCCGGTTATTGTCTCTCCTTTACTTAAATAGTCGATTATTATTATACCTTTCGCATCCCAGAAGACAGAGGCCATTATTTTTCCACAGGACGTAGACACCTTGAATCTCTTGGCTGTCGGGGAAGACGGTCTTTTCCACTCCTTGTTTTTCATCCCACGTTTCATCTATGGTTCCGAATCGAGCGCAAAAAGAATCTGGATCTTCTTTAATGTTGCTAACTTTAGTCCTGAAAAGTCAACTAACTGTTGCATTTCTTTGGGCGTCTGTTAACACTATAATCGCAATATATTAAATCTAGCAAAAACTAAATGTATGCATATACACTTGCCATATAATCGAAGTGCTAAAACTGTAAATAATTAATATCTAACAGTGATAGGACATGCATACGAATGTTTGCATAGAAATAAATTTAATTGTAACTGTGAGTGTTTGGATTATGTAGATAAGTTTACATATTTAGGTCTAACAATAGATAAGAATTTTAACTGGAGAATACATGTAAATAACATTTGCAATAGGCTAAGATTGGTGCTAAGTTTTACCAATTAAAAAATGCATTGCACAAACAAACGTTAAGAATTACGGACTCCTTGTGTACGGGTGAAACTTTATTACATATAACATATTAACATAAACACTCACGCCTGTCACCCAGAGGGGTAGGCAGAGACTACAGACTTCCATTTGGCACGATCCTGACACACCTCTCTCGCCTCCTTCACATCCATACACCTACGCATGCATGCTCGTCGGTTAAGGGTACTCCTAATTTGGCCCGTTTTCAATAAATCGCCAATTTGGTCGATAAATTTTCGCCTAGGACGTCCCTTTCCGACTCTGCCATTCACTTCTGCAACATAAATTTTCTTTGTCACTCTTTCCTCATCCATTCTTTCCACATGACCAAACCACCGAAGCATTCCTTTCTTAATCCTGGTCACAACATCATCTTGCAAACCACACTCTTCTCTTATCACACAATTTTTCACCCTGTCATTCAGATTCAGCCCTAACATACTCCTTAACGACCGCATTTCTACTGCATTTATTCTACTCTCGTGCTTCTTCTGCCATACCCAACTTTCACTACCATACGTTAAAGTAGGGACCAACACAGCATTGTGAATTGCCATACGTGCCTTTTTTGACACATTTTGACTCTTCACAATAGAGTGCAGGGCTCCATTTACTCTGTTTCCTGCGTTCACTCGTCGTTCTATATCCTTATCATATCTCCCATCCCTGCTAAATACGCAACCCAAATATACAAACTCATCTACTTGCTCGATCAACTCCCCTTCTATTCTTATTTCACATATCGTTTTACTTTCATCTCTTTCAAAAACCATAATTTTTGTCTTACTTGCGTTCACTTTCATACCCCTTTCTTTTAATGATCTGTTCATTAATGTAACCATCATTTGCAACTCAGCCGCCGACGACGCAAGAATAACTTGATCATCGAACTTTATTACATATTTAAAAAATATCAAAGACATACAAATAAGACTGATTAAGTTTCTAGATAGTAAAAATGTTAAAGATAATTGCAAGACTATGATAAGTTGTTTCCCATTTGTAAAATTATTCCCATAGATAAAGTAGATTATTTGTAGGTCTGGAATATTATTATAATGAGTAATATAAAGTTAATGTTAGAAACAAGTACAACACACATAGGGTTAGAGAGAACAAACTGGTTTAACCAAAAATAACAAACTATTATGATAAGAGAACATCTAAGTATTTGGTAGCTAAAGTGTTTGACAAAATATCTATTAAGAAAAAAAATTAAAATGAGTAAAGGATCATTTAAGACTTTAACTTCATCCAGGATGGCTAATAGATCTAAATACGATTCATTCTAGTAGATTAAACCATAACAATATAATAAGTATTAGGTATTTAATTTATATGATTTAAGTTAAATGTATATAAGATTATATAGCTAACATAACAACAAGATGTCATAGCTTTATATATTAATTATGTTATATAATTGTGTAGTATTGTGTTCAATATTAGGAGTACAATAAGATGGTTCATTGCTATGTAAAAGAGCGCCTCTCGCCATCAAACGTAAAAGTTTGGCGAGTTTAGAATTAAGTAACACCACTGTATTATAAATTCATTAATAAATTTAAAAAAAAAACATTGGAGAAACCCATCGCGCGGCCACCTTTTTAATTTTAAGGTATGATATAAAATAAACTGAATTGTCTAAACTTTAGGAAAGCTTTAGAATCTCAGCTAAATAACAAATGGTCACACGTCGATATATTTTAACAATTTCTTCGATTTTTTTAACGTTGTCTTGCGTAGCTATATAGCGGCCGTTGTTGTCTTCCCGGAGCGATTGTCGTCATTGCAGATGGTTCTGCTTTATCCCACTGTAGAAAAAGACTGCATTGTTTGTCGAAGTAGACTGCAGCTCTTCAAAAACACTCTTTGTAGAAACATTTTTCAGGCAGAAATATTTTATAACCGCACGAAGTTCGAGTTTCTCCATTTTGCATACGAATCAAATTCCCGCCAAGTGTAAGGTTTGAAAAAAAAAAGGTTTCCTGGCCTGACTACGAAGGAATTTAAGATTCGAAAAAAATAGAACGCGTTCCTATAACTCATTGAAAATTGTCTGAAAATTTAATGATCAACCTAGTAAGAAGCTTATTCATAAAATTAAACAAAATTTTTGATTTACATTTGGTTGCCACTCTATTAGTACTTTTCCATAGAGTTCTTTACTTAACATAAGTGTTATGAGGGTGGATTGAAAAGTACTCGGCCTAACCAAGAAAATAAACACATACTAAATCAGTTATATTTTTATTTTTCTACATAATCACCATCAAGTTCAATACACCTTTGCCACCTCCCCTTCCAAGCATTTAGACCGTTGAAAAAAAATGATTCTTCCTTAGAGTCAAAATATGCGTCTACAGCTGCTTTGACCTCGTCGTTTGTCGAAAATCTTTGACCTCCCAAGTGCTTTTTTAGGTTAGGGAACAGAAAGAGGTCTGATGGTGCCAGATCAGGTGAATACGGCGGATGCGGTAACAGTTCAAAGCCACAGTTGTGAATTTCAGCCATTGACTGTACTGACGTGTGAACACGGGCGTTATCTTGATGAAACAGGACTTCTGAGCATTCCTCGACGTTTTTCTTTTATTTCCTCTCGTAAACGACGTAGTAAGGTGCAGTAGTAATCAGAGTTTATAGTCTGACCCCTTTCAAGATAATCAATCATAATCACACCTTTCGAGTCCCAGAATACTGAAGCCATCACCTTATTTGCCGACAAAATCGACTTAGCCTTTTTAGGGGGTGGTGAACCAGGTCTTCTAAACTGTTTTGATTGTTGTTTTGTTTCCGGTGTACAGTAATGAACCCATGTTTCGTCTATAGTAACAAAACGATTCAAAAAATCATCTGATCGGCTTCAAATAACTCCAAACAGTCGCGTGAAATAGTCAATCGCGTCCTTTTTTGTTCAACTGAAAGCAGTCGCGGAACCCACCTCGCAGACACCTTGTGGAAACCCAACTCGTTGACAATGATGTTTTGAGTTCGTTCATAAGAGATGCCTATAATCTCGGCTATCTCTCTAATTTTTAATCTGCGGTCTCCCATTATTAAATCAAGTACTTTTTTTAATATTTTCGTCAGTAGTTGACGTCGAAGGCCTTCCAGAGCGGGGTTCATCTTTCACACTCTCTCTACCACGCTTAAATTCTGCTATCCATTTTTTGACGGATGAATATGACAGAGCACAATCGCCTAATGTACTGACCATGTCATCATGGATGGCTTTTGATGATAGCCCCTTCTTATGGAGGTACTTAATGACGGCACGCTGCTCGATTTGCTCCATTCGCGGAAATTATGTCCGATTACTTTGTTAATAAATTTATAAAATCACAACTAATTATCGCACACTTTTCGAACTTCACACAATGAACTAGTCTGAACTGAACTAAATAATGTCGGTAGATTTGATTTTTAGAATTGAATGGATCTGTGTTAGGCCGAGTACTTTTCAATCCACCCTCGTATGTATGACTGTTTCATTCAAAAAAGATCTGAGTTATCTTCTTGTCACAGCTAGAGAAATTTCACTTGACACTTTTTCATTAATTGATTTAAAATTGTAAGAAATTTGACCTTTGAAACTATCAAAGGTCTAATTTTTTAGTCAATTATCTCCTTCAAACTGCTAACTGGATATGTATATCTAACATGTTCAAATTTCACAATGTATTAAAAAGTAAGAGCTTACATATGTCATGCACAATGCTGTGCATACTCATCTGACATCTGTTGCCGAGAAAGAGTGTGGTGCAGTAAAGTATCCGTTGCGTTGCCTGTGTGTTGCCAGGTTTCACATAATTTCGAAATTATTTATTTTTTTCCGACATACAGTTTTCTTTAAATTACGTGTATGTTCCGTTGTCGTCGAGCATGTGGAAATTCTGTACTTAAAATTGTAACAAACAATTTTAGTGGTGCCGACTATAATCGAAAATGTCTTAATTATCAAAATTTAAAATTTAATTCCTATATTAAATTATACAACGTTGAATTTCAAAATCTATATTTTTATTTCTGTATTTGATAATTTTATATAGAATTAAAACTGAAGAACTATTTTTCTTTAACTATAATAAAAACCAATAATTTCTTTGTCTCACAGACTGTTTCCATTTCGATGCTGCTTCGATATGCACACCATCAGATCTTCGTGTTTATAGGTAAGTCTTGTTTATAATATATTTAAGTTATCCATATATTGCATAGAAACTGGTAAGAATTTCTTGAAAAATCATTGTACCAAAATACGCAGTATTTGATACACTAATAGGAAATTAATTAAAAATCTTATTATTTATTTAATAAATGGCTTTTATGTTATAAATAAAAACGATGACGTGCTACTAAAATAAGATTTAGTGTTTTTGGTAATTAAATAAAAAACATAAAATAAGAAACATAAAATATTAAATTTATTAAAAAATAAAATTGAATATCTTTAAAAGTACCTCGTAGGTTAATAACGCATCTGCAATGATTATTCATAATCACATTGAAGTTATTAATATCTCCTTATAGGATAAAGTCCCGGGTTCGGCGAAGTTGCACATAAAGTTCACTTTGTTACCAGAATTTTGGAATTTTTTTCTAAAACCTTTGAAGCATTTCCAACGCATGTTCAATCTGATTCAATTCCGGGAATTGAGAGATCCAGTCCAGATCGCCGCATAATTTGGCTGCAGCTACTTATTTAACACACGAGTCGTATGTAGGCAGCATGTATATATTAGCATAAAATCTTGTCCGATTTGCGAAGCATATGACTGGCCATAACGACATGTTGCCCTCCCGTTGTAATTTCAAAAATTCGTTCGTATCTCGTGATGATAACATGACAATTTCCAGTATGCTGCACATTCACCTCGCCTGTATCCCTGTAGTGAGACCACAGTCTTGATATGACGCTTTGCTAGTACCAGTGGTATCGGCAACATTGCACTGCATCGCGATTGCTTCCATCATGGCTTTTGCTCTCAACTTTTTTCAGCATTAAAGTTCGGCGCTCCATTATACAGAAGAAAAAAAACACCGGTATTTTATTAATTAACAAACTTATAAAGAAATTAAAATTTTGTCTTAAAATACAGTTTCTCAGTTTTTATGTATAAAAAAATAGAAAATGTATTTGTACAACAAAATTGACATTTAAATATTATATGGCAAGTACTTACTTTTAAGCTGATAAATACTTAATATCCCTTGACAAGAATAGACATTGTTGATGTGTGTAGTTAAAGCAATTGATCGTGAAAAGTATGAAAAATGATTTGTTGTTTTTGAATAAAGCTGATTTAATTTTACATATATTATATTCAATTTAACAAAAATACCTAAGTAAGCTGGGTATTTAAAATGCCTGGTTGTTTTTAACAGAGTAAAAAATGGTGTACTCTGCAATTATAAGTTGTTGGAATTAATTTCTGTGAAAAATTCTCGAGTTCTGAGCCGGCTCAGCGGCAATCTCTTTGTAATAACAATGATTGAGAATAGCGCCTGTAGCCATCCCCACCTCACCCTACGTTTGTTGCTAAAATAAAAAAAATATCAGGTCGGATTTACCCAGCACGCGCCCCCACTTTGATCTGTCGACAATTAGCCAGATAGGGATAATTTGTTTCTTTCCGTTGGTATTGTTTAGTTCTGTCACTAAGCTACTGCTTTAATGCAATGATTGTTTTGAATTCTTATTTTTTCCCGTCTAAATGAAAAATGTTTTATTGTTTTCATTGTTCAGGCTATCGACAGTCAGTGGGAGGTTCCAAATTAAAGTAAAATATTTTTAAGCTTTTATTTACATTAACTGAATTTATTTTATAGCTCTCAGTATTTTTAGTAATCGAACTCCTTGAAATTTTAGGGGTTTACGAAAATAATGTTTAAAATACCTAAATTAAGCATAGCAGTGTTTAACTGACTTGGATGTAACATATATATTTATATATAAACACATGAATCCCAGATATCAGTAACAACCTTAAGGATATATAGATATCTGGGATTCATGACATAACAAGACACGGATGTCACGCACAATGAATATCGTCATTATTTTCTGTCGAAATTTAATTACTACAGTTTTTGTGTCCTCAATGTCCCCCTCAATTATTTACCTTAATTTATACACCAACTCTCTTATTACATAAAATTTCTTATTATTATTGACAGTTTTGAGCTTTTAAAGTACGGTTTAAAGTCTTTCTTATGAAAGATGTCACTTGACTGACTTCCATTCTTTAAATTTTTAGTTCGCATATTTCCGCTAGATTTATTTCGTGAAATAGGTTCTAGTTAAAACCTGATACTAATAATAAACTAGTCTTGTAATGAGTTAGTTAACGTTTGTAAGTATCACTTATATCGTAAATATGGATATTATTTACTTTAAAAAAATATCAGTGTGAGTTAAACATTCCTAGATTTCTTGGCTTACCGTGGGTTAAATTATTTTATTGTTTATATGTAATATATATATATATATATATATATATATATATATATATATATATGTATTATATATAAACTTATCATTTCAAAGTAACTCTTCACACGTGTTTGTAGAATAAACTATTCAACTCACAATATCGGATAAGGAAAATCTGTTCAATGGGATCCAGTTGGTCTCTATGACAACTCATCCATGCCTCTCCGGGTATATTGAAAAATGTATTTACAAATAAGCCTGGAAAATTTTATTAATACCTTTACCTACCGTGATTTTCAAACTTCATCAATAATTCGTGGTATTGCCGAAAAAAAACTTCATTGTGTTCAAACTTTTTCTTTTGCTATTATTGGTTCAGGATAAATGGCTATTTAGGAGTCAGTTTCAGAATATCCTAGTCATCAGTCTTATTTTATTAGGTGACATTAAGATGTTTGTGCAATTTGTCACAAAAGCAACAGGAAAAAAATTCTTGAGTTGTTTTTGGGCAACTTTTCGGAATTTATCTGCTCATTACAGTCCACAGCTGGGCCTCTGCTGTTGTAGAAAGGAATATCCTTAATCTCTCACTCGAGTGTTGGATTGGCGCTCAACGCATTAGATGTCTCTCTGCTTCCTGTCACCTTCTTGGATACTTTATACCTGGTCAATATATTGTTAAACCGTCTGATATTGGAAGCCATGAAGTCATTCTTTCGGTCTTTGAAGTTACAGCCTTTATTGTCTCACTACTAGACACAGATTTTGTCTCTCATTTCTAACCGGGTTACTGAGCAATTAGTCCGCTACACTGTTTCAGTGACTGTTGGCTTCATATACACAAGTCTTTGAATTGTTTTTATTTCCTCACGATGTTTTCCTTCACCACCGAGCGAGTCTTAAGTCAACACTTAAAATTTCTGTTAACAATTTCATTGTTGCCGGCGAAGATCGAACCCGTGTTGCGCAAATACTGAGCTACCTCGGCTTTACATGGTATTTCCTCTAGTCGCCATTAAAAAAAAAGTTAAAATAAGTGGTCGTGGTTACATGTGGTTCTTTTGATTGTGCATTTGACCGATATTTTCTTATCTCTTGCATTACCTTATCCAACTTTTTGAAACGTATACCTAAAGCTAAATAAGTTAGATATATTTGTTTTAAAATAATTATAAATATAAGAAAAAAATATACTCCTTTAATATAATATTTCTGTTCCCAATTTCCAAAGTTTCATGTTCCATGTAAAAGACTGACACGTGTAAGGACTCACAAGCGTTTAGCGGATTACCTATTGTTAGTGATTTTCCATTGAAGAGGACGTTTTATTACGATTAAACATTGAAGAAAAGAAAGAAAGAAGTTATTCGTGGTTTGAGAACACGACATAAAAGATTTTTTTAAGATTTTTGTACAAAATTTATTCATTATTTCATTAGAGCCTATCTGAAAATAGACCCCTTCTACAGTTTGCCTTATAGGGGGAATATTTGCCGTAGGCAACCGTACTTTATTCTTTTTAGTTGTTTTCAGAAAATGCTGCTGCCATCTTCTATCAACTTGTGAAATGAGAAACTTTACCCAACCAATTGAAATGATATAGTTGATTAATTTATGCCGCCACTTTAAGGCGAAAATACAAATTTAATAATGATACAAAATAATTAAGAAAGCGAACCCTAATAAATGTAACTAAATTTAACTTTACTAGATTTTCTGAACTGAAACTGGAACATGACACTATTTAACAGATTTTGGTTTCTAGTAATAAAAGAAATAAGAAGATTCATTTTATTAGTATTTTAGCCGACTTCATAAAACATCACGACTGTATATTTTGTTGTTTTCTGTTGTCTATGTAATGTTCCGCGATAATGCTATAGTGGCGGTGTAAGAATATTCTGTGGGTATCGTAAGAGGCGACAGAGAGAAACTATAATAGAAAATGGTTCGCAGGATTTTCTTGACAACAATTCAAAACTATAAAAAACTGCAGCTGCCAATCCGTCTGCCAAGAGTGGCAGCTATGGCCACATCCCTCTGTGAGGTAGCTTACGGGCAGGCCCATGTTCAGCAGTGGACTTTAATAGGCAATAATGGATGGGTGTTACGTGATATCTTCGTCAATTGTGAACCTATTTTAATGATACTATGATACATTGCACGTACTCTGATATATTGCACGTACTCTGATATATTGCACGTACTCTGATATATTGCACGTACTCTGATATATTACACGTACTCTGATATATTGCACGCTTTAATTCGTCCCTCTCCTTCGCACCATCGGACGACCAGGCGGTCGGCGGTTCTTCACCCCCTTGTTATCGATATTCCAGAAATTAGAACGAAACGGTTTACTTCGACTTTTTTAATGCGCACAGCATAGGAGTGGAATAATTTGCGGTGTCTATCTTTTCGTCCGAATACAATCCGGGCGTCTTCAAAGCAAGAGTGAATAGGCATTTGTTACGCTAAAACTGTCACAGTCACTGTGTGATTTACCATCTACCATCATCCAAGTTGCTTATAAAAAGTAAAAAAAGATTCCTTTTTATATGAAATATGTCATACGTGGTCTATATAAATTTTGGAGAAAAACTTTCACACATAACGATGGCAAAGCATGGGATGAGGTTTTTAATAGAACAATTTAAAAGACATTGTGACAGTGATATTCTTTAATTCACTCAAAAGGTAATTTTTTTAAAACTTAATAAATAGTAACTTAAAAAT